GGACGCACGATATCTGTGACATCAAGAGAATGCCTTCTAAACATCCCTTTTGGAAGCACGGTCTTGTGTCCATTTAAATAGACCTCCGCCGAGTAATTAATTGCACGAAAATTCAAATCTAGATGCTGAGCACCTTCCTAAAGTAGATCAAGCAATGAAAATAATTAGGTTTCTGTTTGCAAGCATTTGAAACCCGAAACCCAAGCCCCAGTCATCATCATACAATAATTAATTTCCTCGTCAAAATGACCCGTAAGGGAATCACTGTATCTTATGAACATAGAGACAAAATATGAGTATATTTAGCCTCAGAGCAATTTTGGCAAGTAAGCATATGGCATACCAGTTTACTCTGAAAAGTTGTAAAGAACCAGAATGTGTAGTATTCCCCCCCAGAATCAGCAATATCTATAATTGTCTCATTCTCCAGCCCGTAGAAGGGATCGGGGACCTTTTTGTTCTTCACCAAGGTTCCCAAAACGCTGTCAATCAAATCACCATTAGCCCGTAGGTGTTAAGAAGCAACTGATTACATTACAATGCACAGGTAAAAACAAGTTAAAAGCTATAGATTTCCTCTCTTACGTAGATTTGTCAAGAACATCACTACAAGAAAAAACAGCAAGAATAGCAAATAAAACCGAATTTCATCAACTGATCACTTTACAATTCCAATATTACAATTTGCTTAAAACACAATACAAAATCTTGAAACAAAACTTTTTCTTCTTCATGAATTAACTAGATAAACTCAATATATAACTAAGATGCAATATATCCAAAGAAAAAAAGGTTCGAATCAAGTTACTAAAATTGTAATCTCAAACGATTTTAGCCGAAACCGAGAGAATTCAACATAAAACAGATCAGAAGGCACGAAATTGACACCGAAGAGTCGAAAAGAGTAACAAAACAAACGGATTGAAAGCAATGGGAGGCAAAATTGGAGTGAGAAGAATTCATAGGATATTTAGTGAGAGAAACATAGAGAGAAAGAGAGAGGTTTACGTTCCGGGAACTTCAGCGATGATCCAAGGGGAATCAGGGCCGGTGGAGGGAGGGTGGGAGGTGGTGAGCTGAGTCCCGGTGAGGTTGACCTCGGTGGACCTGGCGGCGAGCCACTGCGAGTCGAGCTTCGTCTTCCCTATGGCCGCCATTAAACCCTAGACCAGACCTTCGTCTTAATTGTCAAACGAGCAGAGGAAGGAAGGAAGGAGACCTCTCCCCTCTCTCTCAGTCTCTGTCTATGACTGTCACTTACTCTGAAACTGTCGGTGTGACAGTACATATTAATAAATAGCAATAATTATTAGTCATTCAATTTATGTATTTATTTATTTCAATTTTCAATTCTACGTCATTTCATGTCGCCTATTATTTATTTTTTAATG